GGAAGCATTCCCACCCCGCTATTCCGTATGGTTTTTCGAAATGAGGCCTTCAACGAACAAATAAAGATGCATTTGGTGAAGGATTTTCCTCTTTTCCGTCTGCGCTCTGTGTACGTGTCACATGCAGAGTTTTACGCCCTCCAACGGCAACTTGAGATTTACACAAAAGTGTCAGCCACCAGTGAAACTCTGCCTGATCCAGCATTGGAAGAAACGCTTGGAATTTCAAAGCTTCGTTGGATGTTTGATGCGTGGTTGATGGTACTGGAAGGTATTGCCCCTTCATGGCTTGTGGACAAGGGTGTCGGTCCAGATATTGTTACCTTGTTTCTTGCCTCGCATCGCCCTATAGGGAAATATGATGTAAAAGAAACTATTGAAGCATACACACAGCTTCCTATGGATAATCGTGTGCGGTGCTCTTATTATACGGCAGGTGAGCGTATGCGGCAACGAGTTCATGTGATGCAACGATTTCCAGATATGATTAACAAGTGGCGACAAGGCGCGTATGATCTTCGCTTCTTTGGCGAAGAAATAACGGGAGCTGAACCAGCTGTGCATGTGGCTCATTGCATTCGTATGCTATTATGCAGAAGGAAGCCGGGGGAGAATTATATTGAAGATGATGAAATCGCTGCCTTTGTGCCAGCGGACGATGAATGTAAGCCATTGCAGGTGTACAATACCCTGGCAGCCGAACGTTTGCGTCTCTGGGTATTGAAGGGGCTGCTCACCGCGGAACTGCACGGTGTCCACTGCTTGATGCTTGAATTCGATACAGCCATGGTGCTCTCGATGTGCGTGGGACTTCTTTGGGGCAGCGGTGAGGAGGAGCGGCAGAGGGAATTTGTATTTCATGTATGTAAGATTATTGTGGAGACGGTGGAGGATTACGTGCAGCACAGCGGCATCATTTGGCGGGTGATTATTGTCACTTCCGACGAAAACTCGCTGAAGTCATCCATGCTCTGTCGCGAGATTCTTGAGGTGACGCAAATGGCAAAAACGCGCGTCGAGGTTGAGGAGCGACAGCGCATGGCTGCTGGTAAACGAGTGTCTTCCGCACCCTCTGACACAGGCATAACTGCTCAAGAGGAGGGGGAGGGGGAGGAGGAACACGGAGAGAATAAGGAGGAGGAATCAAGGGGAGGCGAGGAAAAAAGACCAACAGGACCCGCGGCCCCGACGAGAGCGTTGACGACAGCAGTGGTGGCCATGGCGAAGAGCGCCAGCTACAAACACGGCCCCTTCGAAGATGTCGCAAGGTTCTCGGAGAGTATTAGGGATCGTGCGGCGCGTTGTGGTGTGCGAATCTCCGACGCCGAGTTGTACCCCATCTTTCTTGCCCTCTCTGGTGGCGAGGATACGGTTCCCATAAGTGAAATTGTGCAACTTATTCTTGAAAAGGAGTTGGAGCTAAACGACGGTCGCCGCAGCAAAATTTGCAGGGAAACACGTTTGATTTGGCCCCACGATCACCCCATCTGTGCACTGGATAGTTGTGGTGTTCCGTGTGACAAAACCACCGTATGGAACTTTGTCAAGAGCTTTCAACGACGTCCATACCGCGCCAATGTGGGAAACTACATGGCCACCATTGGTTTCACCCCCGGCAATGCTCCGGAACCACCCGAGTCTCTCAACTACGTTGAATTTTCCGTACTGATGTTAGCCCTGGCACGGCAGTAGTGCCGGTTGTCTTTTTTTTTTTTTTTTTTTCCACTCCATTTGATGAACCATCTTTGGTCTGCAGATGCGTACATGTAACTTTTATTTTTGCTCAACACTTGATAGTCTGAATTTTTGTTGTTTTTGAAAAGAACACTAGAATGACAAATGAGGCTTATGACCTTTTTTTTTTTTTTTTTTTTCTAATTGCTCATGTTTCTATTTTCTTTTTTCCTTTCATTTTACTGTTGGATAAATGTTTTTTTTTTTTTTTTCGGCTTCTTTTTTTTTCTTTTTTCCTTCGTTGTTGCTGCTGGTATTATATATTTGCTGCCGTTTGCCGATGAAGCTTCCTTCTCTGGAAGGAGGCAACTTGCAGAAGCGACGCATAGGAAGGAAATGTGCAATCGTTCCGGAGCAGGCAACGTCTGTATTATGTGGGAGTTCGCTCGTTTTCCTCATCTGCATTTGTACTGTAGAAGCCTGCAAGACTCCTGGTGCGAAATCTTTCAAGGACCGTCTATTCTACAACATGATGAAATCATCCCGTATTAGTCCTAACAAACAACTGAGCGACACAAGCACTGTCAGTGCGAACGTATCGAGAACCTGAACACTGCTGCCCTATTCTCTCTTTCCTTCCTTCTTTCCCTTGCTCTGTCTTGCTCTCTCTGTTTCTTCCTTTGAAAGAACCAAACGGGAACTCTCTGGATGCACTTTCCGGTTACTTATTTCTCCGGGTGCCACTCCTCATCTTTTCCCGAAGAGGTGCTCACGATTAACCGAACAGAAGGGTGCTTTGAACCTCCTTTCGCTCTCTTTCTCCATTTTTTTTTTTTTTTTTTTTTTTTATATATATATTGTTTGGGTGGGAGAGTTTTTTTTTGCCATTCTCCGCCCCATAATTGCCGTATCGATGCGGAGAATTTTGGAAAATACGGTGTTTTCTTGAATTGTGGACATGTCTTGCCTTTTCTCTTCACGCCAGTTCGCTGAAGATACAAGGATATTAAGAATTAAGCAGGGAGATAATGGCCACGGCAGCAGTTGAGCGGCCAACTACGGCAGAGGAGCGCGTTCTCGCCTTGAACAACCCGCCACCGCGGCCACAGAAAGCCCCGGATATTTCTCATCGCCAAAGGGCCGCTATCAACACCCGAGGTGCAGGCGTTGCAAGATCGTTAATGAATGGACCAGTTGCCGCTGACATTCCGGACTCTCCGCCACCGGCTGCGCCCTCAAAAAAAATTGTCCATGCGAGTCCCTCTGACTTTCTCGCCGGCCCAAAGGAACCTGGTCATGTGAAGCGCGGAGTTCGCCGCTACGAAGACAGGAATGAGTCCACTGTCGGCAAGGCCCTCACAGAGGAGTGGATCCTCGGCCGTAAGGAGGACGATCCCGTGCCGCAGCACGTTGTGAGGCAACGCGGTCCTAAGGACAATCTCGAGGGTCTTTGTTGCAGCGTCAGGACGGAAGAGGCGAAGCCGCGGCTGCAGCGGGCACCAGGACTGGCACCGCCGCACACCACTGCAGCTCCTTACAGCGAAACGGAGCTCCCGCCTCGGCCCGCGGAAGCGTTGCCCGTAAAGGGAAAGCGCCGCTTCCATGAACAAACCAGCGTGAATCTCTTTGGACGTGCAACCATATCAACTCGTCAAGCCGAGGCCGACAGAAAGGCAGAACGATTGCTGCACTCACGCCGAAACAAGGCGAATGAGTCGCTTGACGTGCTGAACCTTGGTCAGTATACCCGCGAAGACCTAAACGAGGTGGAGCGCAAGATTGTGCTTGGGCCTCGCCAGTTCATCCCGGCGTCGTTGCCTCCTCGCCAGCGCCCCATCATTGCCCGTTTGAAGTCGCACGCGAATGAGACGCATGACATTTTTGGTACTGGCAAAGGTGTTGAGGACGTCGAGCCGGTGCACCGCAAGAATCCTGGTGCCAGCGCCCCGAAGAACAGTTGTGCTGCAAACATTTTCGGCGGCCCTCCGCTGGAGCAGAAACCCCCAAGGCCTTTCCGCCCGAGCCAATTGCTCACCTATGAAGAGGCGCCCAATTTGTCGAAGAAACGCAAGGATTTGGTGGAAGCTCCCGCACGTCCCGCTTCAGCTAACGCAGCCGCGGGCGGGTCGGGGAAGAAGCTGGAAGCGGGCCAACTCTTCAACTCCAAGTCCCCCGATATCGAACCCCGCGGTGGGCGCTGCCGTGGTGTGTATGCACCCAAAACCGGCACCAACAACATCTTCTGAGGCGGAGCGCACTCACTCCCCTTCCAAGGAGAGGGGAAATGAAGAGAGAAAAAAAGTGAAACGAAAAAGGCGACATGTGGAGATAACGAGAGAATTTCCACGAAGGCTGAAGAAAAAAAAAAAAAAAACAGAAGGAAAAAAGGGTAAAAGGGGAAAAAACGGGAATGTGAAAGTGAGAGGGAAAAGCATGAAAATTGAAAAGGAAAAAAAAAAAAAGCAACAACAAAAATCTGCAGCAATAGTGAGGGGAAAAAAAGATTAAAAGAAAAAAAGGAAAGAGAGAAATTGCGTCGTTTATGAAGTACGCATGCGATTCCGCATCTCAATTTGATTTTATTGAAGTGAAAAGCCAGCGAGAACCCCGAACCCACAGTCACAAAAAAGAGTGACGTAACCATGATCGTTGTGCGGGGAATGCGAAAGGAGAAAAGGGGGAAAGAAATGGAAATAAACAAGAGTCACGAGGCATTCGTTTTTTTTTTTTTTTTCTCATGTTGAATGTTTCATTTACAAAATTTTTTTTTTTTTTTTTTGGGTTGAATGGCCATGCGGAAAGAGGGAATTTGTGTGCTTCTGGAGAGCCGAAGTGAAGGGGGCGGGGGGCTGGCGGCAGGAGGGAAAAGCGGGTCGGTATTCATAGTGATGCATTTGGGCATTTCATTCTGCAGGCAGATAGATATAAGTATGTAGGCAAAAAAAAATTAAATAAATAAATACATGTATGTATGTATGTATCGTGTTTGCATTGGTATGTAGCCCCGGGAGAAGCACACACACACACACCAAAGAAGAAGAAGAAGAAAAAAAAAAAAAAAACAGAAGAAAAGAAAGAAAAAGAGTGGAAGAGAATTAAATGAACTTTTTTGCCGGCATTTCTTTAAGTTTTTTTTTTTTTTTTTTTTTTTTTCTCTTTCCTTCTTTCTTTCTTTCTTTTCCTATATATATATATATGATTATTTCCTCCAACCTTCCTCCCTATTTGGCAAGAAAAAAAAAAAAAAGAAAAACTTAAAGGAATGATAGTGTGAAATATAAAACAAAAACAACAACAACAAAAAAGACTACAAAAATTTTTTTTTTGTCTTTTTATCACTTTGATGCCCTTCTGTTTCTTCTGTTATATGCAATTATTTGGGCGCGGCTGCAGGGATGCAGCAGGCGGATGAGGAGGGATAAAAAAGAGGGATCATATTTAACGGAAAGAATAAGTGAAAAAAAAAAAAAAAAAAAAAAAGAAAAGAAAAGAAAAGGAAAAGAATAATAATAAGTGAAGAAGAGAGTACATGTCTATTTCTATATACGGAGGCGGAAACGGTGGAGGAATATATGCAATAAAAGGTACATGTATATGTATGTATGTATGTATGTGTGTGTGAGGAATTCCCTGCGGGTGAATGAGAGGTAAATGCAAGGAGGAATAAAAGCCGAGGAGGTGAGCCTGAAGAGAAAAACAAAAGCCGAGAAAAAGGTGGGGAACATCCATCTCTTAATTTTTTTCTTTTTTTTTTTCGTTTTGTTTTCCTTCCTTCCTTATTCAGAATACAAACGATCCTTCTTTTTTTTATTTTTCTTTTCCTGTCGCCTACGTTCATTGGGAAATAGGCATAGAGGGAAAGAAGAAGAAGAAGAAAAAAAAAAAAAAATTATAAAAAATTAACATCCCCTTTCTCCATCTCGTTTCCTGAAACATTTCCCCTAAACACTCAACACCGTCACCGCTGCCACCGCCAATAAGAATGACATTAACAGCAGGGAAAACAAAAAAAAGGGGAGTGGGTGTAAAATGAATGTGATTGGGGCAAAAAGTAGGAGAATGACCTCACTTGTTTTTAAGTGTTTCCCACCAGTTTTTTTTTTTTTCTTTTTTTTTGACTTGACTTGTGAATGGTCACGCTTACTGGTTTGGCGCCGTGATTGGGAGGGATTTTGGTCTCCGTTTTTTTTTTTTTCTTTTTTTTCCTGCTGACAATTTCTACGAACACAGCCAAAACAATTGAGTAAAAGGTCCCATAAGTAATGCTGCGCTTTTGCCGGTCTCGCCTCGCCATTGGTGCATATGCACTGTTTATGATGGAACAGAAGAACAATCCTGCCCTGAGCGGTCTTCCCGTTGCGAAACGTGGCAAAATGACCTCAAAGCTTTACAAAGCGCTTGCACCTGCGGAACGTGCTGCACTGGAGAAACGTGCCAAGGCCACGCCTTTTCCGAAGCGCAAGAAATCAAAGGCAAGTGGAAATGGACCAAAGCCGAAGCGTAAACCATCGAAATACGCACTATTTGTGAAGGCCAACCTGCCCAAATTCCGCAAGTTACCCAACTCTGAAAGAATTGCCGCAGTGGCAAAGCTGTGGAAACAGCAACAACAGCAGAAGCAGCAGCCAAAGAAGAGAAAGGCCTAATGTAAAATGTGGTTTTGCTTTTTTTTCCCCCCATTCTTTGATTGGAGCGTGGGCTTAGAATTTATTGGTTGAATTACTAGAATGAAGGGGAGGAAGCGAGTGGGAGTAGTGAAGAAAGAAGGGACGCCTATGCGATGTATGAGGACGGAAACAAATAGAAGAGAACGCCACGAAGCAACAGCGGAAAAAAAAAAAAAGCAGCGGAAAGAGACTGAGAAATAGAGTAGGTTACCTCAAGTTTTTGGGAGAAATTTGGAGTTCTCTTTTTGTGGGTTTTCGTGTCGTTTTTGTCCCTTGCTAAAGGTGTTTTCTTTTTAGCCACTGACTTTGCGTGGTTGTCCCATGTTCTCCTTTTTTTTTTTTTTTGTTTTGTTTCTGTATGTAAGCTTCCAGGATTTCTCTTTGAGCTGCCCCCATCATGTAATGGTCTTTGAGTCTTCTTTATTAGCTTTCTCCACGTATGTTTTTTTTTTTTTCTTAATTTCTGTTTCTTTGTTTTTCTTTTTTGTTTGTTTGTGTGTGATCTCACTGCTTTTCAGAGTCACGTGGAAAACAACTGCGCGAGCAGACAAGGCTCAGTAGGTAATAGCGGGCTTTGTTGAAATCCCATGTGTTTTTCCCCTTATTGCCTGATGTTTGTTTCCAACGATGCCCCGTTGAAGAGTAGCGTGAGCGCAGCAAATTTTTTTTTTTAAATATTTGTGTCGTCCCATCCACCCGCTACGACTGCCCTCCACGCGGAGGGGAAGCCCGGTAGTTGCGGGGCAGTAAAAGCTGCCATTTTGTGAGTTCACAACGAGCCCAGTTATTATAGAAGATCTTTTGAATGCCGTTGCTGGTTTTTCTTTTGGTGTTTGGGTGTTGGACGAAACTCAGCCGAATTGGAATGTTGGTCGCATTGGAGAAAAATTGTGGTTCCCCCTTTTTTTTTTGTACGTTATTTTTTTTTGTTTTGTTTTGTTTTGTTGTGAGAACAGAGGAAGAGGCCTCCTCCAGGCAAATATTCTCCATTTCTTTTTGTGTCTTTAATGTCACTATTTTTCCTTCTCGGTAGAGGGCCATGTGTGTTCTGTTGATGCGGTTGCAGCTTCTACTTTTTTTTTTTTTTTCCTTTTTTCGTTGTTGCCTTTTTTTTTTTTTTTTTTGGTTTTATTGGTGTGTGGGTGGATGGGTGGGCGAATCCAAACAAATGCAACCAAAAAAAAAACAACAACAAAAAGGGGGTGAAGTGACGCACGAGGAGGGAAAAAAAGAGAGGAAGTGGCGGGACGAGCTGTGCAATTTGGTGGTGTGCGGCTTTTTCTGCGTGCGTGTGCCCGCATAGACGTTTTGAAGCGATAGAAGAGGCAATGCTAAGAACTGTTCTGCCACTGCATAACAGCAGGAAACTGGCGCTGCGTTTCTTTCAGACGGAGCAGCGGAAGAACACCAATCTTCACGGTCTATCGGCTGTGCAGAAGAAGAAGGTAATTTTGAAAATGTTTAAACAACTCACCAGGGAGGATATGGACGCCCTCAAGAAGAGGGCTGCCGCTTGGGAGGCTAAAAAAATAAGTGGAGAGACGGCGATTCCATCGTACCGACGTCGGAATGAGATTACACCGTATGAGCTCTTCTACAAGGAACAGCTGTCGAATCCCTCCATTGCATCCATTGCATCCCCTAGCGTCCGAGAGAAGAAGTTGTTTGCCATCTTTAATTCCCTGCCTGTTGCCACGATGGAGGCGCTTGAGAAGCGTGCAAGAGAGCTGTCACAAGGTATAGCCTTGAGTGATTCCCCGCCGCCGTCAGGGAAAAAGCCCTCAGCTAGCAAGAAGAAGAAGAAGCGGATTACGATTAAAACCAGCAGCAAGAGTCGCAGCATGACGAGTCAAGGAGCTTCCGTGAGGAAAAAAAAGAAGAGAACCCGTCACAAGGACCCAAGGTGTCACCGTACGCGGCGTTTGTGAAGGAGCAGATGCCTCATATGACGCATCTCCCAACCAAAGAACGGATGAAAGCCATTGCCGAGAAGTGGAATTCAATGAAGACGGAAAACGCAGTAGACAAATCGAAGCCGGAAAACGCAGTAGACAAATCGAAGCCGGAAAATACTGCAGCTGCTGATCCTGCACCACCGTCATAACGGTCTGCTGATTTTATTTTCTTTTAAACTTTTTCTCTAAGTTTTCTTTTTTGTTTTGTAGGTGGTACTTGCTAAATAAGAAGCTTCTGTACTGAGTCGTTGGGGGTCAGTCGAGGTAACGAAGCGACGCGTGGGGACGACTCTCTTTTAGAACATTGAAGTAACCATAGAGAAAATGAAAAGGTGTATTTGAGCGTGAGAGAGGTGGAAGGATGATGGGCGATAATGCCACTAATATTCTCAACCTTGACGTTCTGTTGCTTCAGCATTCCTTGTGGAGTGTGGACCCACCATAGAGGTTGAGTGTGACGACCATTTTTTTTGTTTTGTTTTGCAGCTTACTTCCTTGACAGCGCCAACAAGGCGCAGGACGGAGTCTCCCATCGTGTTGCTTCTCCCGTTTACTTCTGTCTGCCCATTTGCTGCTGTGAAGTGTCTTTCTTTTTCCCCCTCCGGAACAACTGCCACAACACTTTGAAAGAAGGGAAGCAGAAGTAAAAGGTCCCATAAGTAATGCTGCGCTTTTGCCGGTCTCGCCTCGCCATTGGTGCATATGCACTGTTTATGATGGAACAGAAGAACAATCCTGCCCTGAGCGGTCTTCCCATTTCGGAGCGTGGCAAAATGACCTCAAAGCTTTACAAAGCGCTTGCACCTGCGGAACGTGCTGCACTGGAGAAACGTGCCAAGGCCACACCGTCTCCGAAGCGCAATAAAACGAAGGAGAATGAAAAAAAGGAAAATAAGCCAAAGCGTAAACCGTCGAAATATGCGCAGTTTGTGAAGGCCAACCTGCCCAAATACAGTCAGTTGCCCAACTCTGAAAGACTTGCCGCAGTGGCAAAGCTGTGGAAGCAGCAACAGCAACAGCAGCAGCAGCCAAAGAAGAAAATGGCCTAAATTAAAATGTGGTTTGCTTTTTGTGTAGATTTTTTTATATATTCTTGTTAGAGTTGGTGAGGACGTTTTCCGTGGGTGTATTCGTACAAAATTTCCATGCGTTACTGTGTTATTGTACCCTTAACGTGCTGCGTCGGGTTTGGCATCGAATGCGTGCCAAAAGTACACCGTTAAAAGAGTGTGTGAGGTAAACGAAACATTTCTAATATTGTCGGAAATTTTTTTTTTTTTTTTTAATATAATTTTGTGCCTTGAGTTGCTTTTTTTTTGTTGTTGTTGTTCCGCTCTCTTTTATTTATAATATTATGTTTGACACATTTCATGTTCTTTCTGCTCTTTTGGTTTGTTTTACTTGGTGCATACCGGGGGGCACAACAGGAATACGAAAGGTAGTATATAACTCAGCGGTTCTTTTACGCAAAACAAATCAACAAGAAAGAAGAAGAAAAATATATATAAAATATATAAAAAATAAAAATAAAAATAAAAAACAAACAACAAAAACAAAATGATGCGTTTTACCCGGTTCCTTGCCGTTGCAGCAAAGCGGAGTGCCACCAGCGCCAAACTCGGTAAGAGTGTTGGACTCACCGCGGCGCTGAGTCCCAAGCAAAGGTCCCTTCCCCGCGTCTCAGTGACGAAGTTGATGAAGCCCAGCGGGAGCGGGAAACACGTTCCGTCGTCATTCTTGTTGAAGGACAAGAAGAAGGTGGCCACCGCAAAAGTTGCTGTGCCGCCGAAAAAGAAGAGGGCTTTAAAGGTGAGGAAGGGCCGCAGCAGCGGCAAAAAGGCCGCGGCTCTCTATGTGCGCTTTTATCACGCCTTGAAGAAGAGCGGACTTGTGAAGGGGAAGCGACGCATGCAGAAAACGGGTGAGCTGTGGCGTGCCACAAAGAAGGCGAAGGACTTCAAGAAGCGCGTTGAGGCGGCGATGAGGCTTGCAAAGAAGGGACAAAAAAGCAGGGCTCGTAAGCTGAAGGCGCAGAAGAAGGCAAAGGGCAAAAAGTCGGCGAAGGGCGTCAGGAGGGTCTACCGGAGGGTCAGCAGGAAGAAGACTGTCACGAGCACCGTGCCGCCTCTCCCTTAAAATCTCGGGGACAGCTGTTACAGTTGTATAGACCAGCAAGTCAATAAGAAAGTTCACATTTATGTGTCTACTTTCAGAAGACATGGGACAGGGAGGAGAAAGAGTGATGAGGTGGGATGAGGTCTTATAGAACGTTTTACTTCTCAAAGGACGCGTGAGATTTTGGCCAGCGAGAGTAACAAAAAGAGAGAAAATAAAAAAGAGGAAATGCCACGGAGGAATACTGGAAAAAAAAAAAAAAAAGGAATCAAAAGTCGCTGCTAGAAATGAAATAAAGGAGAAAAGAAATGGGGAAAAGGTAAAAGAATAGAGGCTGCATTCAATGAGCACTGGGATACTTGTGAGGGATCAATGAGGTAATATAAAGAGGCATATGTGGGTGGTTGACGAAAATAATCAATTTGCCATAAACTTTTTTTAAAACACTTTTCTTTCTTTCTCCCTTTCTCTCTTGTGTGTGTGTGTGTGTGTCCGTGCTCATTGTATTTAGCGCTTTTTTCCCATTGTTTATTTCTTTTTTTTTTTTTTTTTTTTTTTTTTCATTATTTCTGTTTTGAATTCCTTGTGTCTTGTATCTCGTCCGGCCTCATCATTCTTTCTTTATTTTTTATTTATCCACTTTCCTTCTCTCTTTCTTCTTTATAAAGTTTTGTACCTTTCTTTTGTTTTGTTTTGTTTTGTTTTCTGATCCCTGAAAGCGAAACATGTTTTTCTCCTGATTCATGTGTGTGTATGCATTCATGTGCGTGGGGATTTATTTGTGTGCGCTTGTTGCGGGATTAGGTGCGTGGGAGGGCTCGTGTGGGGGCGCGATCGTTTCTTTCTCTCAAACAAACTGTCCGTAAGGACTCGTTTGCCAACAACAAAACGGGAAGAGGGAGGGAAACAAAACAACGAGGAAATATCCACCGGGGGTCCCCCAGGGGAGGGGGTACAAATGGGCAATGAAATGGGGTAAGGCATAACATCACGTTGTTTTTTGTTTTTTGTTTTTCATTATTTTTATTTTTATTTTTTTTATTTTATTTTTTTTTTTTTTCTGGTTGGGGGCTGCTGCTGCTGCCTACATCTTTTCCCTCTCAGTTTTTTTTTTTTTTTTTCCTTCCTTCACGGAGGAAGAGTGGGTTGTGGGACGAAAAATTTATGGTCTCTTCTGTGATTGGAAAAGGGATTTTGAGCATTTGCAATTCTGATATTTTGTTCCTTATTTATTTATTAATTTATTTTTTGTTAGCTGCAACCGTGACGCCTCTCTTCTTTGCTGACGCGCCGTTGCTCACTCACACACACAAAAGGAAAAAAAAAAAAAACAACGCCGAGACGTATAATGGGATGCCGCCACGTAGGACCCAAAAGGTAACAGTGTCATCACCCACAAAGAGGGCAAAAAGGAGCACGTCCACGGCCAACAAGGGCAAAAGGAAGCGCGATGCTGTTGCCACGAAGGCGCATAGTCCACCCGTTTTGATGAGCTTCAGTAGAATAATTGAAGGCCATCCGTTGGACGTTGCCGAAGATTGTGCTGTGACCACGGGTCCAGTACCATGTGATGATAATTTGTCTTTGCATCAGCGCTTGGCTACCATTCTGCACGGTGTTTTCCTCATTACGATGACGGCAAAGGCACAAATTGGGATCTTTGACGTTGGACAAGGTATCACGGCAGCGGTGGATGATCGCTGGCTCGAAGCAATTGTGCGGTATTGTGGATTTACAGTGATTTTGAACGATATTATTGAGACTGCGGCAGCATTTAACGATTGGTTGAAAGTCCTTGTGAGTTTTAAACAACATGGGGAGATGGAGCGGAATCCTCTCAATACTATTGGAGAGGAAGCGGGGTTGGCGGCAGGGGCAGCAAAAGATATTATTCTGGTGAGACTGAGGCTCCTTCACTCGAGTGTGCCTTCTGTTCTGGAGGCGGAGGCATTTCTTCGAAAACGGTGGGGTCAGAGCAGTGGTTGGCGGCGGAACACAATGAGTTGTTTTGAATTCAGCAAACATGCTGAGACCGTATCGACGGAACAATTTGAGGGTAATTGTACTCGGTCAGAAGCTGGAGGGCCCAATTCTGATGTTTCTTCTTCGGTGATCATTGACAGGATTGCGAGTGACAGTGACGGGTTGAGTGATGAAGAGCTACTAGCACAGATTTCAAGGGAGCTTCGGGCTTCATTGTCCGAGAAAAAGCTGCGCTATTTAGTCGCTCAAATGCGGAGGGAGGCGATTGGGCTGGATGCAAAGGAGCAGGAGTTGGTAACTAAACGTCAACAGCGGGAGCGTCTTTTGGCTACCTACGATCTGGTGCGTGTTATACTTGGTGAAAGACGCTCTGTGTGTAGCATAAAGCAGTTGGTGCAACAGATGGTAGCGCAGAATCGATTTCGTGATGGGGAAGAAAGTATCCTCAAGCAGCTGGCTTCTCTTGCCCGGTACAGTGAGAGTGGCATTGCGATATTTGCGTTCAACGGTGATTCAGATGGACAGCATCCAGGTGGAGTGGTGGAGGGCGAATCTTCGTCATTCTACTCAAGGGAGGTGGATGTGAGTCAGTGCAACATGCAGGAGTTGGAGGCGGTGCTACTTCGTTTAGATCGCCACGTGGCGTCAAGAACCAAACTATACGCAGCACTGCAGCAGCGGTGAGACCTTCTATTCATCTCTGCCTTTTTAGGGCTGTTTTGTTATGTATATATATATATATGCACACACACCTTTTCCTCTATGTCTGCCTTTGCTGCATGCAGTAGGAAAATCAATGAAGCATACATGAGATGAGTGAAACGAATGACAGTGTAATGTTTGTGAAGAAGTAAAACAGAGAACACGAAGAAATAATTTTTTTTTTTTTTTTTTTTTTTTTCAATCCCGTCATTTCTTCCGCTTTATCTTTTTTAACAGGAACGCCGCGTACATAAAAACACACACAAACAAAGTAACTTATAAAGAGTTGTTTGGGTGTAGAAGGAAGGGAAGAAAAGGCGGCAGGAAAGAGGTGGTGGAGAGAGGAAAGGTGAAGCAACAACAAAAGGTGATTTGATGCGGCAGTGACGATGATGCGCCGAACTTTCATTTGCATTTCTGTGAATAAAATCCCTTTTGTGTTGTGCGGCTCGCGCTACGCACCACTATTGAATCAAATGGGGGCGCAGGGGAGAGACATCAAGAGAGAATTTCTTCAGGCTTCGCTCTTTTTACCTATCGTTGGTGTTGAGGAGGATTCTTTGGCGCTCTCCAAGGTGGGGATGCGTAAAAGACAGAAAAAGAAGGCATTTGACGCTCTTGTTCACTGGTGTGCCACACACCAACAATCTGCTGCGAAAGCGTTCTTATTGGAGGATGCTTCAGACAAGACGGTGCCTTCTGTGTGTTCCTCGCCCTCTCTGGAGTCTAATAAAGCCGCTTTACAGTGGCTACAGGAGTCTTCAGACAGTCTCACTTGCGGGCAATCTCTTCTTGTGTGCGGCTTTGTGTCTGAGGTGCTTCTTTGTCGCTTGGACGCCGCTGCTGCAGCCGGACAACGAGGGGAAGGAACCGTAACGGTAACGAACCCGTTGCTTCAGGAGCAAGTAAGAGCGTTCACAAACAGGATAGTGACGTTGCTTCGGCGTGCCATTGAAAGCGACAAGTTGGAGATGCAGCCCCTTGCTATTCTCATGGGTTGCGCTTACGGCCTGCATCGTCTTTCATATGTGGAAAGTCCATTTCTTGGCGAGGCTGAGAAGGTGTTGTTAAAAATACCCCCGGCACTAATGTTTGCCATTTTACGTCAATTGCGTGGCGATGAGTTAAGGAAACTTTTTCAACTGGAGGAGCAGGTCGCTGTAAATGTTTGCTTGACATTTTTGCTTCTCGCGAATGAAGAGCGCCGTCAGGCGTTTCTTTCTGGAGGCGACACGGTGATTGTGAACGCTGTTCTGCGCCGTCTTCTGCGAAGCATCGTCCCATTACTGAAGCAATTGGATGAGACGAATGAGGAGTCTCTCTTGGGTCTTGCAAACGATGTCTCCTCGAAGGGTTCCTCGTCGTCGCCATCCGATTTGCAAGGAGAGGTTGCCTATTCCCCGTCCATGGAAGAATGTGCGGTTATTATGCAAAACATTGCCTTTAGTTCCATGACTTCTCGTCTGGAGATGTTGTCGTATCTGTTACGCATACGGAGGAAACCCGCGCATTACACTCGGCACGAACTGCAGATGCTTCCTGTTTTGCTACAGACAGCGTCAAATATCCGCACGGCAGAGGCGCGGTCGCTCTGTACGAAGATTATCGCTGAGGTCCCGATTCCGGCTGACGACCCCGTACTTGTGGCACATCTTCTTAGTTTCGCTTCCTCCAATAGGGTCCGTTATCTTAACTGCTTGGAAACCGTAGCGACGGAAAATCTTTCAGAAGAAGATGCGCTGCACATCATTTTTTGGGCTGGTGCACACCTTCGGTTGGAGACCCTTCAACGCCTTACTGCATTCATCTTGGGTAAAGAAACAGGTGCCAAATCATCTTCAACATCCAGTTCAAAGCTTGTATTGAATGGGGCAATAGAATGCATTGTGAGAACATTCTTGACCCGATTGATGGGCTCGACTCCGGGTGCTGAAAGAGATGTGATCCAGAATTATCTGACGGAGCTGGTGGATCGTGTGAATTGGGCCGGAAGCACCCTGCCCGCTTCAGTCAAGTTGGCGCTGGAACGTCTAACGTTATTAAAGGAACTCTCGAATTGTGGATTTTCCATACATGCTCCAGAAGTGGTGATGACATTGGGGGAAAAAGCATTGGATCTTGAATCCGGTTGCAGCATGGCCAGCACACTTAAATGTGTCACAGAGGCATTACCGTTGTTGCCTGACGTTGAACGACGCCGAAAATTGGTCGAGTGCATGATTTCTTACAGTGGTACTCGATCGACGTCCTCCATAATACGTTTTGTGGCGTTTCTAGCGCCCCTGTCTGTTGCACACGGGTTGAGCAATAGTGAGCTGGTTCAGCTGCTCCTTAAACTGCAAACGCTGAATCCTCTCAAGTTGCGTCAGAATTTTATTGAGGGGTTGCCGAGGGGTGGCGATGACGCGTTCACGCTGTTTGTGATTAACGCAATGAATTACCTCTTGGCGAGTGGGGAGTGGCGCACGTCGACGGACCGCATCCGTGAGACGGTGACACCGTGGATCCACGAATACCTCAATCACGTGATGAATCTTTCCCGAAGACAGAAGATGAAAAGCGAATTAATCCACGTTGAGTGCAAAGAAGAGAACTCGGCCCTCCATGAAGGGGATGTGGAGGCAACTGTCCCCGACGGTCCAACTCCGGAACGTCTTGAGGAGGTGTTTTCTTGTTTGTTACGTGCAGGCGTAAAGTTACCCGATTTTTTTGCGCCGGAGTTGACTGCTCGCGTGCGAACTACAGAGGATGAAGGGACACCGCCGTCTGGTGAGACAGGGCGCAAGCCACACTTTCCTCCGCCAGGGCACTTTGTTTTTTGCACCAAACTTGATATTGCCATGGAGTCGCCCCTTTCCGTGGAACTCTTGGAGTATCTTCTCACAACGTGTGACTGTCGTATTTTGAACTTTGTCATTACGGCATTTCTTGTGAGTGCCAAGGCCAAATCCCTGGAGTCGCAATTAATTGTACTGACAAATCTGCGACTTGTTTGCCGGGCACTTAATTTGCTTTTGCAACGTATCGATGAGATAGGTTACGAGTTGTCGACGGCTTTTTACCCTTCTTCCGTATCGTCTGTGGTGGCGAACACCGTGCGCTTTGTTGTGGGATTTCTTACCAAACAAGAGCGAAACCAGCGGACGATAGAATCTCTTCGCAAATTGCACTCGGAAGAAGAAAAAGAGTCGATGGCGGATAACGATGGGAAACTTCTTATTGAAGTGACACATGTTGAGAATTTGTTATTGCGTCTCTTGACGTACCTGTCTTCTGCGCACACGAAAGATATCGGTTTGCTTTTATTGGACCGTTTGACTTTATTAGCCCCCGCCGCCGCCGATTATCTTATGTTGCGCCTTCAAAATCAGTTGGGGAAGTTTACGCAGGTGGAACTCTTTTATCTTGTACGGAAGTATCCGCCGGCGCAGGATCTTGTAATGAATGAGCTTCAAAAATACGACATCGCTCTCTCCGTGGATCTTAATGATTTTGTGCGTGTGGCGCGGAGCCTGCCCGTGGCAGTGAACACGATGGTGATTGAGGCACACCTGCCAAACCTGAATTTCCAATGGTGCACGCGGCTTTTGTCCGCACTTGCCGTGCGACATGAGTCTCTTCCCATGAACCTGCTGGTATCCATGCTGGGCAAACTTGAAGAGGAGGCTGGGAATGCGACAGTTATGGACCGCAATGTTGCACTTGTTGTGCTTCAAAAGTACCTGCACTATGAAAATTTTCCGACAGACGATAAGGAGCTTCCACACCGACGACGTCGTGTTGAGCAGTGCTGTGACCGTCTTCTGGTGCTGGAAGAGATTGAATCTCTTGACTCCCTTTCCGGATTTTTATTGGATTTTCCAGGCGTTCTTCTTGACGTGGTCGGGGACGCCATCAAGGAGCGTGTTTTTTCCGCGGTGCTACCAGGGCTGTTGGCAGATCTGGACGGCCTTCTCACGCTTTGCCGTCTCCTTCAAAAGCACAAATTGTTGAATGATAAGATGAAGCTGGAGATTACGGAGAGTTTCTTTGGAAAATTGTCGCGAGCGGAGAATAATGATGAGAAGTTGTTGTCTTCACCGGTATCATATCCGCTGGGAAACGTGTTGGCCTTGGCCTTATTGTTGAGTGAGGGCGCATCTCAAAAAGCCTCACTATGCAGTAAGGAAGGACTAGGAACAGATGGAGCGATCCATCATCAGATTGCACCTCGTGTTTTGCAGGTTGTGAGAGAGCGGTACTCATCGTTGCCAGAACGGTTGGTGATTTTAAGCACATTGGTGGAACAGAAAGACATGGCTGGATTTGCACATACGCATGCGGTGGTTGCAGAAGAAGTGTGCACTGAATTAATTAAGGAATGTGACAAGATGACATCCAGTGAGTTTTCGAGACTTCTACAATGCATTAGCCGACTGAAATTTTGGCATCTTAAAAAACTGGATAACTCACAATTTGGTAACTTTTTCA